GGCAACATTAAACTGATGTTTCAAAAAGGTTGGAAGGAGCATTCCGTTACTTTAAAATAAAAAAAGACAATAAAAATAAAAACTGAACGTAAGCCTTGGCTGAGACCATAACTGTAATATATGCACATTTTTTCCATTTGATTAAACTCTTTGTTGGTACATCTATTTGCTAAATCAATTTCATTTTCCACATTCACTGCATATGACTATGCATTGGATGCCGCTCTTTGCAATCCTGAGGACAATTACGAATACATGTGCATCTTAAAAATGACCATCTTTGTAACGCTCATCCAGTGTTCAATAAGACTAGATTCCGCCCATGGAGCACTATTCACAGTCAAAGTCTTGTCTTTCAGAACCACTACTGAGAACAACAGGAGACTGCTACGTTAAACATCACAAAAGACGTATATTCTGAATTAGGTCACTTAACAGCTTCTTTGGAAAGTGTCTGGAAGTGATTATAATAGGTGCTTTGAAATTCAGACATCTGCTGATTAGCAATTTATAGATTACTAACCTTTTAACCTTCCCTTCACTAATGACTGGTATTATGTGAAACCAGCTATCAGAAAAAATATATATATATATTTTAAATGATTTTTCTTAATACACTGAAGAAGGAGACAATGGATTCTCAAAGAGATTATTTTTTACCGGATGCTAAGGCCTTTTAGTGGGGGGAAAAAATAATGAACACATAAGATGTCCCATTGAAGAGAAGAGAAACGAACATCATGGACAAGACTGTGAGAAACTGCCTCCTACTGAGAAGCCAATGGGTTTTGTTGTGTTGAAATGGGCAGCACACAAATTAGCACACACAAAAATCAGAGATAAATGTATTGGCTCTCAACAGCTAATCGACAGCTAATCCAAACTGGAGAAGATGTTCCATCTTTGAGCCATTCTTTGAATTCAAGTTACCAAGCCAAGTCATTTTTGTTTTAAAGTCTGTTACTGTACCATCGTTAGCGCTTTTAATAGGGGAGGAAAATGACAACAAATGCGTTCCTGATACACAGCAAAAGGATCATTTCAAAAGATTGATGGAACTGCACAATCCATACTGTAGTTCTTTGAATACATGTACAAGACGACGCTCAATAATTATAAAATGTAGGCTCCACAAAAATTGAGAAAATACAGTACCTGACCACGTTGCTACGTCAGGATGATTTTTAGTACACAGCAGTAAACTTGCACTGGAGTTGATGCTGGTTAAATAAATTGGTTTAAATCGAGGAGTTACAGCCCCGATACATCATCTTCCCAAATCCATAAAAGGTAAAACAATAAAGATATGCACTAGATTACAAGAGCTGATTGCACAGTTGCACATTACATGAGTACTCATCTTAACCTCAGGGCCAGCGGTGTGGGAGTAGTTTCTAAATTGACCTTGGCTCACACTGCAGTCTACAGTACTGGGCTGTTGCACTAAATCTGTAAAGGAAGCAAAGCCTGCAGACACTGATAATAAATGCTGCTTATGAGCTTTCAAAACGGCACAATTCTCTTTTTGACTCATATCCAACGACACCATTGGGCGCTCACAGAAATTCAGTAATTATCAAGATCCTGCAATATGGAGATCTGACACAGTTGTGGTATTCGGTTACACAAAAATTACAGCACATGCCAGCAACCATATCACCCTGCAACTCACAACTGGCAACCCACTGAAGCTCAGCAGGTTGTGAGCCTGGTCAGTACCTGGATGGGAGACCTCCTGGGGTTGCTGCTGGAAGAGGTGTTAGTGGGACCAGCAGGGGGCGCTCACCCTGAAGTCTATGTAAATCCTAATCCCCCATTATAGTGAGGGGGACACTATACTGTAAAAAGGCACCGTCCTTCTGATTAGATGTAAAACCAAGGTCCCAACTCTCTGTGGTCATTAAAAATCCCAAGACGTTTCTCGAAAAGAGTAGGGGTGTAACCCCGGTGTCCTGGCCAAATTTTCCATTGGCCCACACCAATCACGGCCTCCTAATAATCCCCATCTATCAACTGACTTCATCACTCTGTTCTCCTCCCCACTGATACCTGGTGTGTGGTGAGCGTTCTGGCGCACTATGGCTGCTGTCGCATCATCCAAGTGGAGGCTGCACATTGGTGGCGGAGGGCCTGTAAAGCGCTTTGTAAAGTGGAGTGTCCAGAAAAGCACCATATAAGTGTAAACAATTATTATGATTACATGTAGAACTACAATTGTGATACAGTTATCACAATTCAGACTTCCCATTTCCTGCGATGCGTAACAGGGTAAAATGTTAAAGACCATCTCCTGAGCAGCTGAAACAGTCAAGGGCTCTGTGTGTAGAGCAGGTGGAGCCCTTCAGTTAAAATTGCTGACTCCATGTGGTCATACCACAAGGTGAAGTAGAACAGTTTCTCAACAGTTTCTCAAAGTGGTGACACACAATTGATTGAGCACCTCAGGCAGGGGGCAGGGGGCCTGACGTACAAAAACCAGGGACTCCTGTGGTTGGCTGGGAACCCAAAAGCCTGCAGTCTGGGGTCTGAGTCCCTGCTGCTGGTACTGTAGGCTAGCAATGCGAGAAGAGAGGGTGTTTGTTTCAGAGGACATTCCCAAGTACATGTGGGTCTTCATCTTCATCTCTCACGCTAGTCCTAGAGTACCAGCTTTTAATTAAATTGATGACCGACTGCCACCCCCAAAGTGGGGAACATAAAATTAGTAGAAATTCAATATTTCCAGCAAAAGAAAACACAACAGGTTTTCTTCGCATTTCTTGAAGAGATTTATGTCCACATGTGCACCAATCCAGAACCACAAGACACATGTGCTGATTGAAATACAAAAAAAAATATTCTGTAGAATAACCATTAAATAAGTACTGTTAGTCTCAGCTATGTTACACAGTGTATACAAACTCCAAAAGATTTATGCTAGTTTTGGTAACATTGGAAAGCACATAACTGCTGGATTCCAATGTTCCCTTCTTCTGAAAGAAGTCTTAAAGTTCCCGTTGAATAAACATGATACATCCTTCCTGCCAATTGCTTGCATGTGCACAATACAGCAAACTGCAGTCTACTGACATTGTATTAGAACATCTTTTGTTCTTCATACAAACTGCTAACTTCTCACTCCTCAGCAGCAAACGTCGCCAGCTCTGGTCCAGAGGGCTGGAAGCTGGTTTTCTAGCTCTCAAATACCATAACCTGTAGAACAGGGAGATGTTAAACTTGTCCAATACAGCCAATAGTGAATCCACTGAAGTCATTAAAAGCCCAGCTGGGCTGAAAACCCACAGACATACTGGCCCTCCAGGACGATAATTGGGGATCCCGGCTCTAGGGATTTTAAAGGGGACAAATGAACTATTTATATACAGCACTTCACAGTTAATTGCATAGTGGACATTCTTTATATTTCTGTATATTAACAGCAATATACAGGATTAATATAAAAGGATTTGACAAGCTAAAATCCTTTTAAGAAACTTGCTTAACGTACAGGGCAGTTTTTAAAGCCTTTTTTTGTTTGTTCGTTCTAGAGAAAACTATTCCTGAAGTAATCTTTTCGGTTTTAACTTTCAGATTCAAGGCATGTAAGGAAGGAAACAACTTTTTTACACATAAACAGAGTGTTAAAACTAAAATGACTAATTAATAACCAACACTCAGCCTACCAAAAACATCTGTGACATTCAGTATAAGGTTAATGCGTCGATTACTGTTATTCACGATACTTTGTGATTGGCGGAACATCTTCTATTTTTAAATGGTCCAGCAATTCACACTACACAGTCGGTAGTAACTGGGTGACAAGAGACGTGAAAATTAAACCACTTCAATACCATATTAATGTATTCCTTGTCCATGATAAAATCATTTTAAACGTTTATTTAAAAAAATTAAAACGGACTTTTCCCCCTTTTGTTATTTTTAAGGGAAAATGTTCCAGATAATAACAAATCTGGGAGTTTTTTTATTTTGAGCATCAAACCGAGTTTCCCTCAATACGTAACAATGTTTAAATAGTAAACAAGTGGCAGTATATTTGAATCAATGTTTAAAAACATTAAATGAAAACATTTATACAGTTTTTGTTTGTAGTAGTTCACTCGGTTGCACACGTTTAAAAAGCATTTACTGTAAAGTATGTTAATGTTGCCAGCACTGTAGTTCAATTCAATGTTACCATGTTCAGCAAGGTTGTGTAAATAGCAGATCCGCGGCTCAAAACGACAGATTCAATGCAACGGGTTTCAATATTAAAATAAATTTAAACAACCTTCAGTATCTGGTCAAAGAGGAACTAGTGATGTAAACCTGCCATGCACTTAAATGTCTACTACACAAGTACAAATCATATGACTAATTTCGTTCACCTAAACCGCAAACGCGCTGCTGTGGATCCCAGTCTCTGCATTATTCAGTGTTAATCTACCTGGCCTAAGAATCTCAATTACAACGCCGAATTCTGGATGATTATATTTCAATAAAGAAAAGTTGTTTCAGTGTTTCACCTTCCACTGCGCAACCTCTGAAACGAGCACTGCAAGGTACGACTGGAGATCAATATCTCTATCCTTCATGAAGAATATAAAGCGTTAGTTCTCTATGTACGATCAGTGGCAGTTTTATAATGGAATTGTTCCGCGTTGTTAAAACCGTCATAAAATTAAAAGTTTACATCCCTATCGCCGATATAGAGGAATATAACATGCGGCCTCCAAGCTCTTCCGATAAATTTAGAGTGTGATGCAAAGTAGTTAAATTCTCCACTTCAAACACCCAAACTTTCTATCATATTACTACCACTCTGGCTTACCACAAGAAAACAACCACGCGAGTTTCGCAGCTGCTAGCAAAACTCCATGGCATAAACAGCTCAGTACTGCTTCTGTACAAGGCTGATTGTTTGCTTGTGGAAAGCCCACCGCTTTTTTAAAAATGCATTTTTCCCCCAGCCTGAAATCAACGTAAAATGCAGTTTAGCGCGGTTTCTTTCTCGCAAAACTTACCTGAGAAACAAGGGGAATGAGAGTCTGTTCCACCGAGCGCGTTTTGATCTCTAGCCCGGAATCAAAGCTACTACTGCCGCAAGGAGATGAAGCCATTCCCGCCGGTCTTTTCTTTTCTTTTTTTTTAATTTCTTCTACTGCAAAGCACAATTCGGTTTGAGCTTTACTCCAGTTTTTAAAAAGGGGGAGCGCTTCTCTTGCGGACCGGCAAGTGAAAACCTAATCTCCGTGACGTTTATTTGTTTTTTGAAGTCATCGGCATTACTGGAGAATGCACTCGTGTTCGGCGTTTCTCCTTGCGATAATGCCCACACACTTCGCTCAACTACAGTAAACTGCCCGTGCGAACACTGCACCGCTGACTGCACCACCAAGAGGGTCTGAACACTACCGGGACTCGCCGAGCGGTAACTGGCTTGCTCTGCTGTGCTGACTCTCGCAGCGCCTGGTGACGACATGGTGCCATTCAACACCGCTCCACGAAACACTGCTCTGTCCCATTTCGTATTCAGACCGTCTCCGAGCACATTCCTACTTCATAATGATATTGTACTCTGTGCAACACCTTGATTAAAAGATCTGCTACACTCTTTTCCACGTTACTGTTCTTTTTTTTTTCCCTAAACGTTTTGTGGACGTTTCTGTTTTAAATGTACAACATACTGGGAGATTGTTATTCATGCTTTGCCCAGAACATACTGTGGCAATTTATTTGTTTTCAAAGAAAAGACAGATGTTAATATTTCTGAGAGTACGAGGAAAATCCTGTAGGAGCTCATAAAACAAATTGGCTGTAGTTCCGCTGCATTTTCAGGGGCTACATCTCACGATTTGCAGGAACTTGTGTGAAACGTAAATGTGAAGTAACATAATTCTGCACAACCTGTATCTTTCAATGATAGAATCCAAAAGATACAAAACAACTGACAGATACAAAAGTTGAATGTAAGAAACATAAGTTAGAGCATTAACATCGTGACTTGTTTCTAACATGTCCAGTGCACTTATAAGCTAATTACAATCTAAGAAATATATATGTATAAATGCAAAATAATTTATTATGCCCATTAGCCTTTTATTACCAGTTATGCAAGAAAAGGTCAGCTGTTATTTGAGTCTCAGTCATGTGGAGTTACATTGCATTTTAGGCTGTAGATCTACACGCCATTTAGGCACTGAGCTAATAATGGAAAATCATCCGTGGTCTATTTGCAGCTCATCCAGAACTTTACTATTCATCTCATACTCTCTCAGGCTCTTTACTTCTCTTTATTTCTCCTTCAGATTTATCTATCACCTCATTCCTTACACTTCTTAAGGCTCACCTGCAGCCCATATTCATTTCTCAGCATTAACGTAATAGATAGATACTTTATTGATCCCATGAGGGAAATTGCAGTGCAACAGCAGCTTAACACAGACAACACAGCAACAGTGTAACGAATGATACAACAATAATAATAATACAATACATACAATACAATCAGTACAGTGAGGAGTGCACTATGAAGAGTTACTCACAGTCCAGAACACACAAAGAACAGAACAGTACACAAAAAAGTCGTATTGCACAATATAAATATAAATATATAAATGTATTGCACAGGTCCCTGGCATATATTGCCCAAAAACGGTTTTAAACGGGGAAAAAGAAAAAGAACAGATGTATCAGTTTACTGTTCAGTCCAGAAACAGGTCACTGTCAATGTTGCCTCTGCCCAGACGCAAGGTGGATGCGTTGTACAGTCTTATGGCAGAAGGCAAGAATGACCTCCTGTAGCGCTCCCTGTCACACCGTGGAGGGATCAGTCTATTGCTGAACGTGCTCTTCATTTCCACAAGCATGTCATAGAGGGGATGGGAGACGTTGTCCATGATGGCCTCTAGTTTGGACACCATTCTCCTCTCGGCCACTACCTCCAGGGGGTCCAGGCCAGACCTAATGACGGAGCTTGCTTTAATGTGATTAACTACAATACTGTAGTTACTAAAATTATTTTGTTTGTATTCTCTTACAGTATGGCTCTTTTTGTTACCTATCCCTATAGCACAGTACTTTTTCTTTGACATAGGTATACTGTAACCCAAACAATAGATGTGCCTCGTTGTTCCATCTGTGAAACTCAGAATGGAACGGATGATTTACCCAGGTTACAGATACTGCAGCACTCTCAGAGATCTTCAACTTCTTGGTGTCGGGCTGTAAACCCTGGGTTAACTGGAAACCAATGGTTTAAAAAATGCATCTAAAACCACAATCAATTACAAAGAAAAAAAAAGTATTTCAATGTAGTATCATTGTAATATAATGTTCAGAGGTCCAAGTGTGATTATTATTGCATATTGCAGAGGGGGTTCTGCAATAAACCATTGGAGGATGAAATAAATATTATTGTGGAAATGGGTGACTGTGCCTTTAAATGAAAGAATTTTACCATTTCCTAGTATTAAGATTTTTAGTGCTACAGTGCCTTCAGAAAGTATCCTCCACCACTGCACAATTGCAAATATTGTATTATGACTGGAATTTTGAATGCATTGAAGTTACTTTTTGCCTCGTTTAACACAACACACACAACATTTTAAGGGGGCAAAATATTTTTAAGATTAAGATTAAGATCACTTTATTAACCATATACAATTTCTTGCATTAGCAATTCGTCTTTTCGCATACCCCAGCTTGCTCTCCACAGACACACAGTTATGGAGAGAAGCTTGGGGTCAGAGTGCAGGGTCAGCCTTTGTACAGCACCCCTAGAGCAGTTGGGGTTAAGGGTCTTGCTCCGGGGCCCAACGGAGTAGGATTCCTCTGCAGGCTGCAGGATTTGAACCGGCAACCTTCCAACAATTTCTATTGTGTAATGAACATTTGTCTGAAAAATTTAAAACCGAAATATCTAATTTACAGGCAGCACAGCGGTGCAGTGGTCAGCACTACTGCCTCACAGCACTGGGGCCCTGAGTGTAATTCCAGACCTGGGGTGCGATCTGTGTGGAGTCTCTATGTTCTGTCTGTGTTTGTGTGGGTTTCCTTTGGGCTGCTCTGGTTTTCATCTACATTCCAAAGACATACTGGTATGTTAATTGGCTTATTAATTGGAAAATTAGTCCTTGGCGCAAGTGTGTGTCTGTATTTGTGTCTGAGTGTCTACCCTGCAATGAACCACCTGTTTAAATGGTCAAACTTAAAATGTTCTTAATGTTTCAAATTTAGGGTTAATTAAGGGTGATCCACAGTACCTGCTGGATTATGGTTCCCCAGGAACAGGGTTGGCCCTGTTCAGTACAGGGTTCTGTTCTAAAGCCTTTCTGCGCCATTTTGTTTAATGGAGATAAATAAAATTTGTAACCTAGCCCGAAAGAAATGTTTAATTTGATTTCACTACCCTTTCATATTCCCGTAATTAGTGATTCATAGTTTTATCAGCCTCCTGTCTAGCATTTAACAAAGAGGTTTAAGAAGCTGCTGAGCTGACATCCATTTCAATCTAAAAGAATGAAACCTGCAATATGAATTATTTATGTTCTCTGTTCCCTCAGCAGTTATCCTTTAGTGGAACAGGTTTGGGGGAGGTGGACAAACAAATCTCTTTAAATGAGGAAACGTTACACTAGGGGCTTCAGTTATGAATGCTTTTACAGCTGTGCTGATGTCTGAGAAAATGAAAATGTGAAACTGACCAGGAGTGTTCACAGTCTTGTCATAGTTGTAACTAACAAAAATACCAGTTATAATAACACAAAGCTTCGTGACACTGGGTTTGGGAACCTTACCAATCTTTAGGAGGTGGGATTGAGCCATTTTCTTATTCTGAACAGAATAAGACCTACCACATCTAGCTAGAGGCCTGCTTCTTCTTTGTCACACAGCATCTTACGACATGTCCTTTGTGGTACGATGTTTTATTGGCCCTATTTATTGTAGCACGTAAGACTTGTTTGTCATCTTGGGTGGCTTTTGTTTCTGAATTCTCACTCATTGTCGGAATAAAGTGACGGAGATTCACAGTGCATTCTGTGGTGGTTCAATGAATTACAATGTAAAAATCCCAATAGGTGCAACTCACGAGACTGACTGTGTACCCAATTTGTTGTGTTGGTGCCTTGTCATTACACCTGCGAGCTGCAACCAAAGCTAGGAGAATAATCAAAATTCTGAATTGATACACTCAACAATCAGGTTATCAAATCACAGTTTTGTTAACTACATTTCGCAGTTGAGGTTAGAAAAATGCCCAGAGAACCTTAGAGTATCCTTTAGTCATACTTACTTAGTCATACATATTCTCTAGTCATACTGTACTTTCAATAGTATCACAAATTGAGGAATGTGCTAACTGTAGCATCAACTCTTAACAAATTAACTGACCTCATTCACAATTTAACTCCTGTTTCATGAGATAAACATATGCAAATGTCATTTTAAGGTATTCGTTTTTTGTTGCCTCGGTTAGAGTTATGGTTGTAAGGAAGAAATCGTATTGCTAATAGAAATAAGCAGATCAGGAGATTGTTCTGACAGCACATTTATCTAGAGAGGGGAATGGAGAGATACTGTATATTAAAGTGGTTCTCCCTCCTTCTCCCACCTCCTAAGCGCTCAAAACTAAAAGTATTTGTGTAAGATGTAGGGCATTGTTTACAGATAAAATGAGGTCTAATTGCCCTTGACAATTCTGTGAAGATGTGCTTAGTGACCATTTACAATTTGAGTTAAAAAGTATAAAATCTTTCAAATAAAACATTTTCTTATTTCCATATTCTGTACGTGTAAACCTCAGATTCGGTTTCAGAATTTTTGATAGTCGTATCAGTTCAACAACAACAGCAACAAGCAATCAGTTATACAACAATATTGGAGGCGATTGATGCAATGTAAACAAAACAGCATCTGAATGCTTTTGACATGATTGATATTGACTGTGTTTGCCTTACATACAGTGCCATAGGGAGCCAATATTTTAACACAATACATAAGCTACAGCTTTACACTTCAAAACCTCAATATCCTATAGTCAAATCCCCAGCGTATTTTTACTTACCACTGTGTAAAGTACCTTTCAAATGCAGATTTCTTCCAAGAGCTTTTTTTAAATAGCAATATATTTCATTTCTAATTTAATTTAAGCTTGATCAGTTGTATAAAGTATATGAGCAGCTTAAAGGGTCTGACCAGCTAAATTAATGAATTTGTGCACTTTTTCCAAGTAGGTGTCAAAGCTGAGTTGCCAGTGCACTGAAATAAATTATTCTGGAAGGAGCAAAAGTTGTAAATATCGCCAAAATCAAAACACATTTGAATAATTATAAAATAAGGGAATTAGAAACCGAGAATTTCTTCAGTAAAACAAGAACTGAGTGGGGTGTAAGTAAGATGCATTTTTCTGAAACTGAATGCCAAACAAAACGGCAATTCAATTTTA